AAAAAGAAAAGAAAGAAACATAATCCTCCTACAGAACAGATTTGGACAAAGAATCACATAAAAATGAAAGATTTATTTTTGTGGGGAAGGAAGAACTCCATTTCAAAGCTTCTACCTAGCAATGCTACAGAAAACATCAAGGAGAGGCTTATCTTGTCTATCTGATTGAATGTGTAGATATTATATTGTTGCTGGGATAGAGATTGTCTTTTATAAACTATTTAATACACCAGCAGAACTTACTCACTGACTGTTTGCCAAGGTGGAGTCACATCTTGCAAGTTTCTTAACCACAAAGAATAACACAAAGATGCAAAAACAAGGTGAAGGGATTAGCTGAAGAACACATACACATAGCCCATGGACACCGACTTTAGTGTAGGGGGGCGAGAGGAGGGGAGATGGGCTGGGTAGAGATGGGCAAAGGGTGGAAATTGGGGGGCATCTGCAACAGTGTTAACAATAAAAAAATTGAATTAAAAAAAGTTAACAGTCTTGGCCTGTTTGGCTCAGCAATGAGAGCATCGGCCCGCAAACAAGAGAGTCCCAGGTTCGGTTGCAGCTAAGGCCATGTACCTTAGTTGCAGTCTGTCCCCAGCCCCTGTTGGGTTCATGTAGGTGGCGACCAGTCAATGTGTCTCTCTCACATTGATGTTTCTTTCTTTCTCTTTCCCCCTCTCTCCCTCTTGCTCTATCTGAAGATAAATGTAAAAAAAAAAAAAAAAAAAAAAAATGTCCTTGGGTGAGGATTAAAAAAATAAAAGTTACATCAGGCCAGATATAGGGGTATTGCATTTCCAGACCAATGGGCAGAATAACTGGTTCATGGGGTGGAATTTCTTCTAGTTTGTCTGTGTAGCAGAACCAAAGCAGGGAGGAATCTTCAAAAGGACTGGAAAGGAGTTGGTTTGCAGAGCTAATCCCACATCTACCTGCAAACTCTGGGTGGAAAGAAAAATAGTGCTATTTACTCATGTAATAGAAAGGAAGCTGGTTATTAGTAATACTTGGGGAAAGATGTGGGGAGAAGCTGAGGAGGTTGGGAAGGGACAGCAGACAGAAAAAGGAGAGGGGATGAGAATGAAGGGCATTCTTTCAGCATAAATTGCTCCAAATCTCATTTTAGATTTGCACACTAATAAAGAGCACACCTCAGGGTTGTGTGCACCACCTAAGGAGGACGCATTGCATCTCAAATTAAATAATTTGCAATAGGCTGATGTTTAAAACCAATTCCATGAAAGCCTACAGAAAACTCTCTGAAATGAACCAGAGTGTGACTTAAGTGAACACAACAGTTATTGCTAAAACTCAGGCGATTTGTACAGACGTGTCAAATAGAGATGGGGACAGGAAGTGAGCTGGGAACTAAAGGCCTAGAGAGTGTAGGAATGGTGGGAACAGAAAAGAAGCCAGGGAACTCATGTTCGCTAAAATAACAGACATTAAAACTAAATGGTCTAACGTAGTCATAGTAACTCCTTAACAAATATTTGTGTAAAGGAAGGAAGCACCAGGGCACCAAGAATGGTGATGTGGGCTATACACTATCCAGGACCGACCTACTAAGTTCCTACCACTGTGCTGAGGTACAGGAATTCCCCCCTTATCTGTGGTTTCAGTTACCCATGGTCAACCATGGTTCAAAAATATTAAATAGAAAACTCCAGAAATAAACAATACATACGTTTTAAATTGTGTGCTCTTCTAAGGAGTATGATTACATCTCATCCTGCTGTCTCACCTGGGACACGAATCGTCCCTCTGTCCAGCCTGTTCACACTGGATCCTCTCCCTGCCCATCAGTCACATAATAGCCCTCTCAGTTATCAGATCCACTGTCATGGTATCACAGTGCTTGTGTTCAAATGACCCTCATTTTATTGTAACTTTTCTACTTCAATTATTATTGTTGCTAATCCCTTACTGTGCTTAATATAAAATTAAACTTTATCATAATACATGTAAGAAAAAAACATAGCATATATAGAATTTAGTATTCTCTACAGTTTCAGTAATCCACTGGGGGTCTTAGAATGCATCCCCCCTGGATAAGGGGGACTACTGTATCTATATAATTCTCACAAGAACCCTATGGTCTAGATGATATTTACATTTTGTAGATAAGGAGACTGAAACTCAGAGAACTTATACTACTTGTGTAAGGTCTCCCAGGAAAATATTAAAAGCAGAGTTCTAAATTCAATGTCAGGTTGACTTAAAAGCAATGATGTTAAAAACAATTGAGGGAACTGAAAATGATTTTTTAAAAATTACCTTTATGGTTGAGAGTATGATAGATATCCCATCCCCTCCCCTCACTGATCCCATCCACCTTGCTCCCACCTCCCACCCAATGCTTCACCGCATTATTGTCTGTGTCCATTGGTTATGCTTATATATGCATATAAATTCTTTGGTTAATCTCTTCCTGCTCCCTGCCCCACCCTTCCCTCTGAGATGCGTCAGTCTGTTCTCTACTTCCGTGTCTCTGGATCTGTTTTGTTTGTCAGTTTATCTTGTTTATTAGATTCCACATATAAGTAAGATCATGTGATACTTGTCTTTTTCTGAGTGGCTTATTTCACTTAGGATAATACTACACAGGTCCCTCTATGTCATCTCAAACGGTAAGAGAGCCTTCTTTTTAACACCTGCATAGTATTCCATTGTGTAAATGTACCACATATTTTTTATCCACTCATGTACTGACAGACACTTGGGCTGTTTCCAGATCTTAGTCATTGTAAATAGCACTCTATGAACATAGTGGTGCAAATATTCTTTCTGATTGGTGTTTCATGCCTCTTAGGATATATTCCTAGAAGTGGGATCACTGGGTCAAATGGCAGTTCCACTTTTAATTTTTTGAGGAAATTCCATACTGTTTTCCATAGTGGCTGCACCAGTCTACACTCCCATCAGCATACATTAGTAAGTGTAATTTATTATTTCCTGTTCTTAAAAAATGTTATTTCCCACTGCTTTTAGACAGTAGATTTATTTATGGTATGCCAGTGGCTGTAAGGGTATGTACAATTGAAAAGAAATAAAAATAAATCAGTCTTAAAAAATAAAATTAAAACCTGCTACGGTCCTTTAGCAGTGATCACTTAACCATTATAAGCAAACAATTCCCCAAAGGAGTTTATATGGTGGCAAAAAGGTATGGATATGGATAAATAAATTTCAAAGTACAAACTATCAAAAATGAGAATTGGAAAACCCACCTGTTCCCTGGCCCTACACAAATCTCCAAACGATTATCACTAGAATGAGTGAAAGAGTGAATTACTGGTCCAGATGCGTATTGTTGTCCCAGTTTCCACCTTAAAGTATTTCACCTCTATCGTTCTCAATTAACCTTTTCTAATTCAGGTGGAAATATTATCTGCAACCATAAAACACTTTAATAAAATTTAAAATATATTCATTTTAAGCTATTGTCTTAAGGAAAGTGCTACTTTTTTCTCTTTTTTTTCTATAAAGGAAGGAAACTTTTTAAAGTCGATGGCTGATAATGGGTTACTTGTGCATCTGATATAAACTTTCAAAAGTATTTAATTTTAGCCCTGGCCGGTTTGATTCAGTGGTTGGAGCATCGGCCTGCAGACCAGAGAGTCCTGGGTTCGGTTCTCACTAGGGGCATGTACCAAAAAAGGAAATTAATTTTAAAAGTAATTACTGAAATCGTTGCTAATGAAAAAGTGTTGCTTGCCTGAAATTCCATTGTAGGCATAGAAATGACATAATAGAGATCCTAACAGAGTGTAGGGTTTCTGGCTGAGGACGTTTGGTGAACAATGCAAAGGCAGCATGTTCTGGTTGAAACCATTTTGGACAGAGAATTAGAAAAACTGAGCACTTATCCTTGATTTTGCTATTAAATAGATGTGTGACCTCAGCTATGCACTTCATTTTCTAGTGCCTCTCATTTTTCTTCAAACCTACAGGACAATGATACCTTCCTCTCCATATTTTACGTTAGTGTTATCAGCACTAAAGAAGACACATCTAAGAGAATCAAGGACTTGCCCCAGAATCTGACCATTGTTCTAAATGAGCCTTATGCAATTCTTTTTGGTCACATGTGTCTAACTTAGGTTAGTTAACTTCATTTTATTTCTTTTCATCTGTTTAAAGAATATGTATTTATCTTTTCTATTTGTTTATTACCACTTAAATGCTGTGCCCCAACAGTTTTTGGTTTTAGAATATTAAGACCCCTCCCCCAAATAGTTGAACACTCATTTTTTCATCCATCCATCATCCACCCATCATCCATCCATCATCCACCCATCCAGCCAGCCAGCCATTCATCTATCCACCCAATCAATCATTCATGCATTCATTGTACATATATTGAATGCCTATATTGTGCGAAGATTGTGCCTGTTGCTGGGCATTACACTATTTCAGTAATGCATGTGAGGGTGAAATTTATATGGTTAAAACTGCTGCCCAGCTTGTTGAAAAGAAAAGCTGACAGTGGCAAGTCCCCTTGACCTGCCTCTCTAGACCCTGGGAATGTTTAAAAGCAAGCCCAAGGTCCACTTCCCTTCTGATCCCAAAAGAGCCTTCTGCACTTTCGAGGCCCTGACAGATGCTGAGAAGTTTGAGTAGGTCCACGCGGAAACTTAAAGAGCTAGTCTTAAATGTTCTCATCATGTATCAGAGAGAATCTTTATGACTGTTGCAGAGTAGATTGATTTTATAGGTTGTTCAGTTGAAGCAGGAAAAATACATTTTATCAGGACAATCTCTTCCTACTCCATACCTTAAGGCAGAGATAAAGTTAGGATTGGGAATCTTTTACATTTCTAATATGATTGCATTCTTAAGAGAACCCTTAGGGTGAAAAATGTATCAAATAGATTTTCTACAGATAAAAATTATCCTGGTGGATAACATTTTATAAAATTGTCGTCTTCTGCAGGTTTTCCAGTGAATCAGTTTCGATTCAAGCAGGTCCCATATGGCTGTTTCTCAAAATGTCTTACCTTGTTGCTGCTTTTCCACATAGTGGGAAACATTGAAGATCAGCGATATAACCAGAGCTAAAATTAAGGCGGCTATAATTGCCCAGACATAAAACTGGCATTCAGAGTTTCCTGCAAAGCAAAGCAAACATACCCTTAATATAGGTACTGGACTTATGGGGGGAGTTACTTCGTAAATTATATAAATGTCTAACTGCTATGCTGTACATCTGACACTAATATAAAATAATATTGAATATCAATTGTAATAAATAAATAAATAAATAACCCCGGCCAGTGTGGCTCAGTGGATTGAGCATCACCCCAGGGACTGAAAGATCCCAGTTTGATTCCTGAACAGGGCACATGCCCATGTTTCAGGCTTGATCCCCAGTAAGGGGCATGCAGGAGGCAGCTCATAGATGTTTCTCTCTCACATTGATGTTTCTATCTCTCTCTCCCTTCCTCTCTCTCTAAAAAAATGAGTAAAATCATTCAAAAAATTAAATAAATAAAATGTGTTGTCAAATCAATAAATATATATAGTAGCTTCTTACCTATGTGTTTTAAAACTATTCTATTTATTCACAACAAAGGACAAACCCTCTGCTAAAAAGCTAACATTGAAAGTCAAAGGCTTCTTACAGATTTCAATATGAGTATTGGTGAAGGTCCCTGAATTCAGTGTGGGCAAAAAGAAACATTCTTAGTGTTAATGACATGGAAGACATTTTTAGTCTAGCTATTAAAATTTGACAACTGGTGACTAATTATAAAAAATTTGGTTCAAAACCAAGAATACCCAAATTACCCAGAATCATAATTTGCTATATTTTTGCTCTTTCTTTCATCCTCAGACTATAATCATACTTGCTTTCAATATTTACTGAAAATTACTTATTTCCTTCTATTATTCCCAGTAGCATAGGATACTGTGTTTTGGGATAAAACAATAATTCTGGAATCACAGTAACCCCATTTTGTCAAGACTGGCCATAAGAGCTTTACTCATATCATCTAGATCCCCATGAACAAATGATGGAGAGTTGACTATGTGTCCCTTTCCCATCTGTGAAAGCTTATTTCATTCCATAAACAGGGTTCTGTGGGGTATTATTGTGCATATATATATATGGATGTATTTATGTAATAGATATATAAATACATATATGCACAGTCACCCTTGATTATTTATGACAATCTTTACACATAATATGAATGACTACTAAGATAATTAGCTTGATTTTATAAATATAATAATATAATATATAGTATACATAAATTATACAAATTATATAATAAGGAGGTGGGGCATAGATGTGTAAACATAATTAGAAATGCAAGAAAGACAATGTGTAAATAGCTACAACGGGGACTGTGTTCCTTCCAGTCCCAACTCTCTGTGACTACCCAGAATAAGAAATCATTTTAGGGCCTTTCAAAGAAGTCCAAATACTGACGTTAAACACGGTAAACAGAATAAGCAAGCCCTTAATAGGAGGGAAATTAGTTTTGCTTCCCTAATCTGTCTTTAAAATCATCCAGTAAAGAATACCTAAGCCCAGCCCTGGCCGGTTTGGCTCAGCGGTTAGAGCGTCGGCCTGCGGTCCGGAGAGACCCGGGTTCGGTTCCCGCTAAGGGCACGTACTTCGGTTGCAGTTTGTCCCCGGCCCTGGTTGGTCGTGCGGGTGGCAGCCACTCGATGTGTCCCTTTCACGTCGATGTTTCTCTCTCTCTCTCTCCCTCCCATTCTATCTGTACAAAAAATGGAAAAATGTCCCCAGGTGAGGATAAAAAAAAAAAAAAAAAGAATACCTAAGCCCAAATGTTCTTTGTGCTGCTCTGTTTTACTTACACTCTTCATCTCAAATTGGACATTTGAATTTCTAATTGTTTTCTTTGGATACTTGTTGACATTGCTGTGGTTCTTGAACTGCTCTCAGTGGTCCTGTGCATTTTACTTGGCTTATTTATTTATTGACATCATTTATTTATAAATGAACATAAGTTTATAGATAATTAAATATAAAAAATGTATATATATGTACTTATGTTATAGACATACAAATACATATATGCACATGATTTACACATCACTTATTTTTACATACATTGCTTTGTTTGAACCAGTCTGTGGCTCTTATAACACCAGCAAATCTGTCTACTAATGTTTGCTACCTCCTCTTTAATATTGCACCATAGTATTTAGATGTTCAAAGTATTTTCAGTTCCACAAAGAATAGGACTGTTTTTGCCTTCTGCTCTGCAGTGCCAGACATAGAGTATATGATTTATAAGAATTTTTCAAGAGTTAATAAATAGAAAAACTTAACTGATAATCGTAGGAAAATGTGTGGTTTTCTTTTCTTTAAGGGGATTTTTATATTTCAGAAATATAAAAAAATTGTGAAGACTGGAATCGTTTTTTATCTTCTGCAATAGACCTACCAATTAATTTAGTTAAAAACACTAATTTATTCCACAAGAACATAATCTTGTAAATATTTATGAGAATTCTACAATATAACATTTATTAACTATTTTAAATATACTAATAATTCTAGGTATTTTATGATACTGCATATATCACTATAATTATTTGATATTTACATTTAATTATATATTTTAAAATAAATCACAAATGCCTTCTGACCTGGCTGGTTTTGCTTAGTGGTCAGAGCATCAGCCAGCAGGCCAAAGAGTCTCAGGTTCAAATCCCAGTCAAAGGCATGTACCTGGGTTGCAGGTTCGATCCCCAATCCTGATTGGGGTTGTTTGAGAGGTAACCAATCGGTGTCTCTCTCACATTGATATCTCTCTCTCTCTCTCTCTCTCTCTCTCTCTCTCTCTCTCTCTCTCCCTCTTTTCCTCCCCCTCACTCTATCTACAAATTAATGGAAAAAATATCCTTGGGTGAGGATTAAAAAAAAAAATCACAAGTACCTTCTGAGTGTAAATTTTTAAAATTCCAACAATACTGAAATATAAAATAACATGTAAGGTCCTCTATTAAAATATAAATGGGACACTAATATTACACTAATTGGCCTTTAAAAAAAAAACTTACCAGTGTGTTTGGGGAATTTTTACCATGCTAGTATGTTAATTTTAGTGGCTGCATAGAATTACACAGTATTTGCTGTAATATAATTCATCTAGCCATTTCTCTAAGATGGACATTCTGATGTTTTAAATGTTTTATTTCCTGTAACCAAAATGCAAGAAACTCCACTGGACATATTGTGCATATATATGTGGCTTATTTGTAGAAGAGGTTCCTGAGAATAGAATTACTGTGTCAAAGGGAACTCGTAAAGCATCCTTTCTGGGAGAGATTGATCCCCTCCTTCCACTGACGCTAATCCTTTTCAGGTGGTTGATTTAACATAATTGTGGAAAATGGGGCCAGTAAGCTGTCTCACTTGCCAGATAGATACCAGTTTCCCTCTTTGCTGTCACAATACATTGACAGAATTTTACAGAAATATTCATTTCTGATGTCTGTTATTAAATTAATGAGTTTATTATTATTTTTCTTCTTGCATTTGTCACTTAAGGACACACAGTCTAAGTACAGTTCTAATTTCTTTCACATTTTATTTATTTTTATTTGTTTAATTTATTTTTTATTGTTTAGAGAGAGAGATAGGGAGAGGGAGAGAGAGATGGAAACATCAAAGAGAGAACATCGATTGGCTGCCTCCTGCATGCTCCCCATTGGGGATTTGGCCCACAACTTGGGCATGTACCCTGACCCAAAATTGAACCAGCGACCTCTTGGTGCATGGGTCAATGCTCCATCACTGAGCCACACCAGCTGGGCTTCTTTCACATTTTAAAGCAATTTGAGGGCACACACTATATTTTCTATTGAGCTATGTCACAATGATCATTTCAGATTATTCAGGCAGTTAAAGTAGACTATATTCATTCACTGTCTACAATCACTATATTTGGTGACATTTAAATAAATAAACTCTAATTGTTACAAAGAAGCCAGGAATGTTATACACATCATCCATGTTCAGTATTTAAAAACAGTAAACTCAGATGAGCAAAAACAAAAAGATAAGTATTAACCATAACCTTATCAAGAGACAATCACTGTGAACACTTTGGTTAATATACTTATTTTCTGTGTAGAAAATTTTACAGGTGAAGACACAAGATTTAGTTATATTGACTATATTGTCATCTACTTTACCCCCAACAATTTCATAATGTGCTTCTTTTCCTAGAAGCAAAATATGCTTTCATTTCTTTTAGCTGCCTATATTCCATTGTACAAGTTTTCCATAATTTATTTAGACAACCTTTATTGTAAGAAATGTAAGTTGCTTCTAATTTTTAGTTATATAAGCAATGTTATGATTAATATCTTTAGCTAAATCTGTATACCCACCTTATTTCTTTTTTTTTTTTTTAGGTAAAAGATCTTGATGATGAATTGCTAGATCAAAGGATATACACATAAAAAGACATACAAATTTTGATAACTTGATGTCCTAGATTTTAAAACACAGTACTAAGTAAAGCATTCACAAGTCAGTCTGCCCTCTTTCCTATTGGTTCTGTTGGCCCTGATGTTATGTTTATAGCTCGTTTGGCTAATCCACACTACAACAGCCACTCAGGATCTAGCTCTATCCTTCCACACACTGTCCTCATATATTCCCCTCCTCCATGATTCCTAGAGAAAGTTGTCTCTTTGTCCTTCTGGAATCTATGACGTAGGTCCTTCAAAAGAAGGTGCTTGTTCCTATTTCTTCCCTAAATTTAAAGGACATCACACTTTTCTTCCCTTATCACCAATTAGTTCTACAAAATGTTATTTTAGGTTTCTTATATCTTTTAGGGTTTATCTGCTATACCCACCCAATAATACACTATGCTCCAATCATTCTGAAGCACTTGCAATTTTCAAGATACCATTTTGTGTCTTTATGTCTCTGCGTATTTGTTCCTTTGCCTGAAATACCTTTCCCTTACCCATCTGATGAATTCCTAGTCATCCTTTCTCTTTGAGGTGTTCATTCAATGCTTCCTGTCCCCCACCAAGTGACATTCCAAATATCCCTCTAGATTTCAACAAATATTGATGTAATGATCATTTATATATAAAAATCTCTCCC